CAGATTTAAGCCAAATTTTGAAAATAGGAATAAAATTGCTTTTAGGTTTTGGTTATATAATAGATAGAGAGTGAGTCGTGGTGGCTCAGGGTATGGAGCTCGAGTCTCCCAATGAGGTGACCCGGGTTCGAAGACCAGCGATCGCTGGTGGATGCGTACCGATCACAGTACTGACGTAAAATATCCTCATTGATAGACGGATCATGAGTTAAGAGTCCTCTTGCCATCAGGCTAATCGTGGGAGATTTTCACAGTTTTCTTCTCCATGTAACTCAAATGTGGTTTAGTTCTATCGAAAATCCACCGCGAAGGCAAATTTCTTCCAATACTTGATCCAGGAGATACTTGATTCCCTCGTCTTCTGCATTGGGTACAAAATTACAAGGCTACGGAGTTGAAAAATGGTAGTCGTAAACACAAAATTGGGTCGGATGTTCAACGACGGTTATAAAATAAAATACAATAGAGAGAGAAATTTACACTAATCAAAATTTAATATTGTTAAACTTTTTTAAATATTTTGCTGCTCTTAATTTTCCAAGAACCGTTTAGAATATGCTTTATAAAATGACGAAAAAAGATTAACAATCATATAAATTTATGTTTAAATTATTATCAATTTTGGGAGAATAGTGACTCATTCATTTTTTGTTTCTAAAATTTAATATCCCTGTTTGTGATCTGTCTTACAAATTTCAGTTTTGCTGATTACTTTAATATTCTTTTACATTTATTTCTGAATTGGGTTTAAAATGTGTTAAATATAAATATTAAACAAAACTATTTTGTATAATACAGCTTCATTTTTGTGAAATTAATGCAGCTGCCTGCATCTCAACGCAGAAAGTGATATGATACTGGAACATTTCTAAGTTGTTAAAAGAATTAGTACTTTTTTTAAAAAAAAAAACATTTTTAAATTATTCCTGATTTTTGATATTTTTCAAATTTTTTCTGTCTTTATTCATTTTTGTATTACAAGCTGAAACAAAATCAGAACTTTCCACGCTGTTCCATACATAAAATACTATCAGCTTTTGAAGTTAATGGTGATCTTCATATTCCAAAATTCCTATTAAAAACTTAATTTGTTTTAGATAAAATTCTCTCTTTTATGTGAAACTAAAGTTGATTTCTCTGCTCCAATATTTCAAGAAAAATCAGTTATTTCATATTTTTAAGCAGTTGTCTTATCATTCTGTTTCAATTGTAAATGTTGTTATTAAATTTGTCATGAAATATAATAATGATTTTTTGCCATTAGTATCTGTGAATTTTTCTGGGTTTTTTTTTTCTGCGTATTTAAATGCGTTTGGTTGAAACATTTTTTTTAAAAATTCAAACTGTTCCGTTGAAATTATTTGTGATTTTGTAAAAATTAAAGAGTAAGTTAATATGCATTTTTTTTACTAAATACACAATGGTCTACTAAATACTGAAGCAGCAAAATTATAAAACCAATTATTCGCGAGGGCTTAGTGGTTAAAGATTTGAGCTGTCGTTGCGAATATGGAGTTTGGTGAGTGGCTTGAAATCCAACCAACTTAAGAGATTGATGGATACCAGCCATTTTGGAATATAAAGACGGTCGGTGCGTATTCCTAACCAAATTGTCATTATCATACTGTTGGTTACTATATGGTGGAGACAACCTCCATTGACCTCCAGCCCACAAATAGGTGTTGAAGGGAATAATTTACTTTATAACTAATTTTTATTTTTAAATGTTATTGGTTAATGTGATCAATTTCGCTAATTCTTTACTAATTTTTTTCCTTTCTTCCCACCTGCTTTTTTAAATGTGCCCAGTTTAAACATAAATCAAAACTATGAAACTATTCCAAGTGAAATGCTGTTAGTTTTTGCAGGAATTGTTATTTACGTATTCAAAATCCAGTCAATAATTTATTTTTATTGGAATACGTTTAAAACAGTTATTGGTTAAACTTTATTATTGTGTCAGTTAAATTAAGATTTTATGTATATTGTTCCCTTAAGTTTTTATTTCTGTATGTTTAAATTTGCGATAGAGAAACAAAAGTTACATACTTTAAAGTATAAATCAATTGGAGAAAAAGAACATAATAGCATTGAGCCGCCTGATATTACTTTAAGACAGTAGTCTAATTAATTTTTTTTTGCTTTAGATAAAATTAAAAATTGAGTGTGAAATTAAAAATTTATGCACTTTAAGGTAAAGTCCTCAAACATGGGTGCTTTCAGATGTATTTTGACCTGATAATTTTGTGTGATAATAAATTTAAACAATTGCATTTTTAAGCAGAAAATCAAAAGTTTTTTTTTTTTTTTAAATTCTCTAGGAACAGGTCACGTTGAAAATATATTGTATATCATCAAGTATCGGATACCTTTAAAAACGATTAAAAAGAAAATCTCAAGCAAAACATTATTTACTTGAGTCACAAGCATAAAATAAGTCTTGTTTTGAAAGAACTTCTGAGTATAAAACAAATTTTTAGTTACGAAATCTGTCTAAATTTATCAAAGGCCTGTAATTCTTAGAGTCATAAAAATTCCTATTATCCTTCAACATTATTTTTTTTAAAATTATCTTAATATCTTTTCTAAATGTCCAAAAAATTAATGTATCATATTATTGATTACACAACGCGAAAAATTACCTATGTAATAATTAAATTATTAAATGATATTGTATAATAACAAAATATTAAAAACTTAATTTATTGATATATTTTTAGTTAATTACTATTTTGACTGTTTTCAAAAACAACGGCGCGATTTCAAATAAGGGAACACAAATTTATGCGCCATAGTCCCGAGTGAAGAAGTTACGGTACTGTAAGAATTTACGAATAAAAACTATTTCAGCTGTTTTTACGACAACATAAATATTAATGAAAGATATTTCTTTCCATTGAATCTCACTTAATTTTGTGTTTTTATAAATTTCTGGCATTTTGCCTTGGTTAAACTGTGCGAATTCGACAGTTCGAAATTAACAAATAGTTTTAAAAAAAGAATATTAGTAATTTTCCAATTTAATTTAAAACATTCAATTTTAATATGCAAATTTTAATAGGAAAAAATAGCAACTTGGGTTGAGTTTAGTGCTGTTTTAGTAATTAGGTAAACTCACTTGTTTAATTAAATTTAACGAGTAGAATTATTTTGTTTTCTTAACTTTTATAATATATTTTAGTAACAAATAATACTTAAAAAAAAATAACTGTTTTATTTTAATGATATTTTATTTTTTATCATAGTTCAAATCCATTGCTTTGTAATTTTGAACTCTACTCAGAAGGCTAGGAAACTCCTGGATCAAGAATTGAGATAAATTATGATTCTTGGTCGACATTTTAATGGAACTAACTCCCATTTGCTTCACAGGGAAAATAACCCCGGTTACCCCGACAGCAAGGGGATTCTAACCCATGACCCCTCTCGATATTTTTAATCAGCACTGTGGCCTGTGTGAGCGGTCGAGGGTAGAATTCGTATCCACCTGCTCCTGCTAGAAGTTGAATCCGGATTGAGTTCTCTATCTGCTGAGCCACCGTGCCTCTTCATTTTAGTAATTGAAAATACATAAAAATAATGTAAAAAATGCTTAATAATAAATTCATGCACCAGTAACAAAATAGTTGTATTGAATACCAGGTGCATAACCATATACTAAAGTATGTAACACTTTTATACAAATCAGGATCCTGCTTGGATTTAGCTCTAAAAATGAATTGGGAAAACAGTGAGACATTCATACAAATCTGAATCACATTTAATCTTGGTTTAGAATATAAATTGTGAAGAAAGTGCTACAGATCTGATCTTTAAAACAAAAATTGATGGATAATATTTAATTGCTATTATTATAACAGAAAAGTTTGTTTATCAATTTTAGCTACAATGAGAAGTAACTAAAGGAAGACTAATTTACATTTGTTTGTTTTTTGTTTTTTTACTTTGTAATTTAGTAACATAAATAAAAAACATCATTATGGAAAAGTCAGTATATTAATTGTTGCTACAATGAGGAGTAAATGAAAAATTCATTTGATTTTTTTAAATAAATTGAAATTCGATAATAATAAATAAATAGAGAATATCTTAAAACTTAATTACAAAAAAGTCAGTGTTTTTACGACTTCAGTGAGATTTAACTGAAAGGAAGATTCATTTCCATTTCCTATTCTTCTTAAAATCTACTAAGATTAAATACAAGGTATCTAAAAACGTATTTAAATAAAGTAAATGTTTTTCCACTACAGTGGAAAGACTAATATAAAATTAATAACATTAAATCGAGATTATCTTACAAACACATTAAAATAGAAAAGTTAGTGTTTTTTTTCGCTACTGTAGGAATTAACAAAAAAAATCCACTTGATTTTTTTTAAAAATTTAATTGAAATCTACACTACAAAAAATTTTGGATCAAATTACCGTAAAAAATACTGGCTCTCAGGGTGTCGGTACTTTTTACCGTAAAATCCATTTTTACCGGAACATGTTATCGTACAAAACACATGATGCATCGTGATTCTTACAAAAATAATTATCGTAAAATCACTGAATCAGTCTAATTAAATAAATATTACTGTAAAAATCATGGTATAATATTTTACGGTGAAAATAGATTTTTGGCTAAGATGGATTTTATGGATGATGCGCTCAAAATGCCGGTACTTTATACCGTAATTTTTTACAGTGTACTAAGAATAAATAAATGACATCTTAAAACAGACTGAAATAGTAAAGCTAGTATTTTTGACCACAATGTAAGTAACTAGAAATTATTTTCATTTTGTTCTCTATTTGGAATTCTCTTATATTGAATAAAACACAACACATTAAAATCGAAGAGTTCAAGTGTTAGTTGCAACAACGAGTAATCAATAATGATAAGATTTAATTGCAACTTCTTTCAATATTTCTCCTTTTTCACTACTTCAAATTTAAAAGAAAAACATTAATAAATATTTTTTTCAAATTTATACAACAAAAAAGCATTCACTTACCTCCTCCATTTTTGTAACAAAGGTAAGGAAATCTCCAAACATTTGCCAAATCAACTGCAAAACCAATAACAGACAGTAAAAAATCAGCTTTTTTGCCCCATGTTTCTCTAGTGTTATCTGTATCGACATCTTGTCCTGGTGCAGAGGGTACTATAGTCGCGTTTCTTGTACTGGTCATCACAATCGTTTCTGACATTTTTAAAATTTCACTAATTTCAAACTTTTATTATAAAAACAAACTAAGCAAACACTTTTTGTCTATATCACATTTGTGTTCTTTCCTTGTGCACAAACTGCGATTCAATTTTAGCATTTTTATAAAGTCCATTCTGTACTATTTTTCAAAAAAAAAAAAAATGCTATGAAGTAATTTATAAAGATGGAAAAAAAAAGGTTCAGTCATTTATCGATTATGAAAAGATTCCATTTATGTTCAGCAAAAAAATAGTATGTAAGGTAATTAAAAGCTTTTTTTTTTCATTCAACTCTTATCAATTTTAAATTAATTTTTTAAAACTGATTCAATTTTTGTGTGCCAAAGAATGAAGTAGTAATGCACGGTCATAAATTCCTCGTAATCATATTGTTGTCAAAGAAGCATAGTCATAAAATTTTACAGAAATTTGAAGAAACTGAAAAATACATCACTTTTCTGATTCAAAAAGATTATTTTTCTTTCACAGAGCATAAAATAAATAAATTCAAGTAAACTAATAATAACAATATTTTTTTTTTTACTTTTAATATAAATTTTACCTAATATTCTAACATTTTTTTAAGTAATTTTTTTTAACTTTTTGGAAATGAGAACTTTTTACTATTAATCTTTATCAAACTTAATTTTTTAAATATCTGAACAGTATCCAATTGGGAAGACCGATGAAACTTTCTCCAACTGAAGATGATTCCGCAAACTGTTTCCAAAAATCTCGGGTGTAAATTTTGTCTTATCCTTACGCATAAAAGAAAATGATGAAGAAGATGATATTAATAATAATTCCTGGACGTCCATTGGCTCGTTGCAACAAGTTACTGCTTTTCTTTCCACCCTTCTACCTTCTTAGAAGCAAATCGTTTGCGCGCGCACGTCATGACGAACACAACTCATAAAAGTAACGAGAAAAAGTTCTTTAAGATCCAAAAGATCTTAACGATCATTTGGAATAAAAGAATTTTCTTTTTTTTCTCACGTTTTGATGCTTTGAGCATCTCCCTCCTTAAAAAAACGATAAAGTAAAACAAAATTAAACAGTAGCTTTTCGAATTTTTAAAAATCAAGGAATACAACAATCGAATGAAAAGTAAAAATTGCAGAATTTATTACCTTTCATTGAAAAGCGACAGTCATTGTTTAGACAATGTTTTATTATGTCCGCTAATAAATTTGTTTTTCTATGATAAATGTGAACCGCATTTGACATTTAGTTGACAAAAAAGCAATTTTTACGTTATGGTTGTTCTTTAATAGAATTTTTCGTTTTCTCTATGTTTTTTTTTTACTAATTTCTCTCACTATTCTTAAATTATTTGAAGGTGATTGTGAAAGAACTTAGTTAATTTTTTGTAATTGAAAGAAGATGAAAGAATCATGAACTTCCTAATTTATCGATATGCTACAGTTAAAGTAATAAATTTGATTAATAACTGGGATTTTTAATGATATTCATGTTTTTTTTAGTAAATGTGATAAATTATTCACATTCATTACGTAAACCAGTAATTATTAATAAATATCAATGAACCGTGAAGGATCAGGGGCTAGAGTGTTCGCTTTCCTTTGAGGTGAACCGGGTTCGAAACCCAGCGATGACTGGTCGATACGAATTCCGCATCCGTCTTGCACCGAGCACAGTGCTGACGTAAAATATCCTCAGTGGTAGACGAATCACGGGTTAGAGTCCCCTTGTCGACACTCTAACCTCTGAAGGTTTTCGTGGTTTTCCAATCCATATAACGCAAATGCCATAAAAAAAGTCCTCCATGAAGGCAAATTTTTATCAATACTTGATCCTGGAGTTCCCTTGCCTTCTGGATTGGATCCAAAATTACAAGGCTGAGTTGAACATTAGTAGTTGTAAACCCAAAATTGGGTCGGTTGTTCAACTGCGGTTAAATTAAAACAAAATAAATGACAACTGAATTCAGCCAGTGTGTTCACTAGGCAGAATTTATTGAAACCTCAACTCTAACATAATTTTAGATCTGAGTGCTATCTATCGTTATTGAGATTAGTAGAATTAATACAATGAGATACCTGCAAGTGACGGTATCTCAATCCTGATTGGTTGTTGAAAAGTGGCATTTATTTACGTTAGCAACTGTTCTTTCCATTCGATTTCGAGTAAGCCAAGTCAATCAATTCTCTTATGTGACACATTCGAAATTCTTTCATAAAGATTCTTTCTCAAAGATTTCTATTCTTTCACTATATATTTACACAGAGACTTAACACAAAGACAAGCACAAAGCCACGTGGAACATAAACAAAACTAATAATGCATCGAAGCTGCCAGGTACGCAAAACAAAAATATACTATTATGATTACAATAAAGTACATAGACAAATAATAAATCTAGTTTAAGTAAAAGAAGTAGACGAGAAAGTATTACATTTCAACTAATTCGATGTGAGATACGGCTTTTAACAATCTAACTTAGGTAGAATAAGCCATTTTGCTGATAAAGAGTAGCTAGTGCTGACGTCATAGGTAACATGTGTGGGTATGGGAAGTCTTCTTCTTGAAGTGCAAGATCCCAATTAAGGATTACATGAAATACGAATTTTTAATAAGTTTAATTTAAGATGAATTTTTAATAAGTACATTTTAAATAATAAGTTATGCAGTAAATAAGTTACGTTACTAAATAAGTTCAACTTTAATATTTTCAACTTCCAACTTAAAGTTGGTTTCGTTTCTATCTGATAACTTGAGAAATAAAAATGCTTCTGAATGCTTTGATACTGAATGCTGAACTTTGCAACTGAAATGGTTTTGTAGACTGCGTACCTCAAATTTAAAGTTTATTGTTAGCGGAGTGGGTTCGTGACCCAACAGTATATGTAAATCTAAAAACTAAAAAGTTTAATGCAACATTAGTTTTAATAAGATTTAGGCGATTCGGATAAATTGAATGATATAATTTTTGAAATTTAGGAAAGTTAATGCAAAAAATGTCATCAATATATCGACAACATAAAAAATTGCGATTAATTTTGTTAATATATATATATATAAGTTCAAAATGTAGAGAAAACATGGAAAAAATTACAGAACAATGAAAAAAGGGGGGAAAGAAAAATAATAATAAAAATAACAAGAAACCAGAGGAAAAAAATTTATAAAAATCAGAAGTTTGGATTTTTATAAATTTTTNATATTATATTATATAGAAGTAAGCTAAACTTTTTAATTTTTTAATCAATTAAAAAGTAGATTTCTTGTAATTTAAAAAAGTAATGTAAGTGAAAAATTCTGTAGTGTTGTAAAATTAATGGAGGTGGACACAAGCCCCTTAACCCCCTCGTCACTACACCTAAGCAGAAAGGAAAAAAATTATAATTTACAAAAATGAACTTAAAAATGGGTTACTTCCATTGTTCTTAGTTAGCACTGAAGGGAACATGTGAGTTCTGTTAATAATTTAATTTGTTGTCATTTAATTTTGAATTTAATGATTTAACAATGTTGATGATTTAATCTTAAACTTTTTTTCAGCGAATGTAATATTTTGTTTCTAATACTCGAGAATAATGAAACAAATCTTATTTTGTTCCATTATTCTCGAAAATCTTTTTTAATAATATTCGGCTACAACTATACACTTGGACCATCTATATTTCTTTAATCTTTTAGACAACCACTATGCCATCGATTTCGACAGTTTCAAAGACATGTTTTATATAGCGAACGACAATGGCTAGAATCCTTTTGTTCGAGCAGAAAAGGTTAAAAAAAGAAGAGATTTTTTTTTCTTCCCCATCAACTCTTTATAGTTTTCTTTCCCTTTCTATTTATTTTCATCGAATCGTAAAAATCAGTCATGACGTCATAAACATAAATGAATCATACCTTTTTCTGACAGAATTTAGAATAAAAAAAATTCTGGTGGGTTATTTAACGAATACAATACTGAACGAAACAGGCAACGCATTGTAATTTCTCGAATGAAATAGCATTTGAGTAGGGCGTTATAATACTTGAAAGGATTGACAGTAAATTATTTATAAAACATTGATCATTTGCAAACAGTAGTTATAAAATGACGCATATTTTAAAATCAGCTTCATTCAAATTTAAACTTCTATGCCTATTTATATATTAGTTTTTATCATGTTTGAATTTTAATAAAAATAAAACTTTATTTTTACATTTAATCAGAATATATTTCTTTACATCATTAAAATATTTCAAAATAAAATAAATCTGGATACTTAAAAACAAATAAATATTTATTATTTTGACCTATTTATTTATTAATTTTAATCCCCGTTCGAGTTCTAATAAAAAGATAATTTTATTTTTACTCTTATTCAGGAAAGATTTCTTTACAGTGTTAAAATATTTCAATGATTTATTTATTTCAATGATTTATGATTTATTTATTTTGCAGTATTTCTTAATTTATTTTTATCCTGTTTGAATTCTAATAAAAGGATAACTTTCCTTATATTGTAAAAATATTTCACAATAAAATTATACATGAATACTTAAATATTAATAAATATCAAATGTTTATTTATTTTCACCTTTTTATTAAATTTTTTTTTATCATTTTAATAAAAAAATAACTTCATTTTTATATTAATTCAGAATAGATTTCTTTTAACATTGTCAAAATATTTTAAAATAAAACAAATCTGAATACTTAAAATTAAATAAATAAATATCGATGCATAAATTATAAAAAAGTTAACAAAAAACTTTTTTTTAAAAAAATAATTGATAACAAATTTTTTTAATAATTTATCAATTACTTTTTAACATTTAAAAACATTTTTCCAGGTAATTGTTACTTTTTTTTAAGAAATACTTCTTTTGCAAAATAAGGCTTGCACCTTAAACTTGGCTACTTTCCAATGAAATATAACGAATCTAAAACGGCTGTATTATAACTCAACTCAATACAAAATACCAATTATAAGTTACATGCATTGCCTATAATGAAACATTTTCCTTATAACGAAATTTTAGTCAATTTTGTAAGATTCCTGATGGTTAAAAAAAAAGTTCCTAATCACTCAGAGGGCAAAATATTCAGAAAAAATTAATTAGGTTGTCATAACATTACGCATGGCAAATGCGATGTGTGTGATAAAATATTCAATGCAATGTGTAAATCGCCATACTTTTCTTGACGACAATGATGCTTAATCAATGTTGGTAATATGCATTAGTTGAAATAAAAAAAATAAGCTATGTATATTTGAAATTTGTTATGGGGAAACTCAGAAAATCGTTCTACACCGATGACGCTAAATTAAAATGAAAAATAGTACGGCTTTTATAAGAGTTCTACAAAGGGTTTTCCATTGCTTCAAAGAATATTTTTTCCAGTGGTAGCAAAGATAGTGTATTAATACTTAATTGTACTTATCGGATCAGAATTAAGAATTTTTATTAAGTACACGCATACAGGGGCAGCAGCACACGCATACGAAAAATTATGGAAACACTTCTATACTGACTCATA